CTTCTCAATATAATCGTAAAAATTATTGAAATAAAAACGTATTTGCGGTAATTCGATTTTCAGTGAAAAACTGCTGTTACGTCATATTACCTACAGCGATAAGTCCCATTTAGTGTTCATGGAAACATTTATTTCCCATTAAATAATATAAAAATACAATTCTACAGCATTAATACAATTCTACAGCAACTAAAAATTTTTTTTTTCGTTGCTTTATATTTCCTTCTATGAGTTTATAATTTAGATATGATTTTTTCTGAAATAGTTATATTTTAGCTCTAACCTCCCAACTGTATATTATATATTTTATTCTATCTAATAAACGAAATTCAATGTACTTAGTACGAATTTTTTTTTTTTTTTTGTACGAAGAAATAAGTAATTGAAAATAATTTAAAAAAAAATATTGATAGATGGATATGAAGAAATTAAATAAGCGAGGAAGGATAAGATTGAATAATCTTATTTAATTGCCTGAATTGGCAATTCAATCAAAATCATCACATAGTAAATATAATTCATATTATATTATGAAATGAACAACTAACGTTATATGATGAAACTTTTTTTATATTTTATGCCTTCAATGCTATTACAAGATTCCGCCAAACATAAGGCTCGTCCAAAGTTTGCTCCTTTATAATCGTTTATAATTATACTATAAGTGTTGTAAATGAAAAAAATCCAAACCACAAAACCATAGGTCTCCAAGATACAGGCAAATAGTTAACTTGCCAATGTTTCACCAATTCTGGCATCATCAGGGAAGAGGAACTGAGATCACTTATATGCAGAAAAAAAAAACAAAAAAGAAAAAAATGAAAAAAAAAATGATCGTTGTAGAAATCTCCCGAAGTCCGAAGGAAGTGACATTTCATACTAACGGAAAGTGAAGCTTTCAGTTACACAGCTAAGAAAGGTTATATTGAACAGCTGTTTAGCAGCAATACAAGGAAGAAAAGAAAAAAAAATGTGGTGTGTCCAATCACACGACTTTTCTATCAATTTAAAAAAAAAATATTTCTTTAAATATGCCCATTCAGAAACAGAAAAAAAAAATAAATTAGATTTATTTTCCTTAAAATTGATCAAAGAAAAGATCTAAGTACGATTTCTTAGATATACCTAAGCAATGTAAACCAGCTTGTGGAAGATCAGCGTAAAAAAATCAATACACTCTAATATTGTTTTGGTTTAGCCCAATTTCGTCAAATAATAATTTCTGTTTAAAGTCGTTAGAAAATGTGTGTGATGCAGGCAACAGATTTTCTTACTTTCACTCATTTTTCTTTTTTTCTCTTATTCACACTTAGAACCGTATTCTTACATACGAAATTGAATAGCTGTAACGTTATAGTTATAGTTATAGTTGTCTGAAATGAACGATTTTTTATAGGAAATTTCGTTAGCTTTCAAAAAATATCACTAGTAGAAATCCTACGAAATAAAAAAAAGAAGCAACAAATTCGGTACACAAGTTCTCGAAATAATCTTGGCACAGACAGACAGACCAATGGCTGAAAATGTGTTTTTTTCAGACTCAAGGGGCTCTGAAACGTATAGATCCGTCGAAAACCACATGTCGGAGATTTGGTCCGATCGCAATACTTTCCTTACCTAATGTATTTAGGAAAGTAAAAATTGATGCTTAACTACAATATATTAATAAAAAACTTATTAAATAAAATAAAATAGAAAATTAATAAATTTAAAAGAAAAAGCTTCAAGGTATGTATTACTCCACACATAAAATTACTGCAATGAGCATAAAGCTAAAAAAGACATTAAGCAATTATATTATAACTGGAAAAATCCAAACTACAAAGCCATGTAGTATCCAGATGAATAGTTAATTTGCCAATTCAGGCAATTAAATTTAATCAAAACCATCATATAGTAAATATACTTCATATTATTGTATGAAATGAACAACTAACGTTGTATCATGAAACTTTTTTTTATATTTCATGCCTCCAAAGCTATTACAAGATTCCGCCAAACATATAGGAAGCCTCGTCCAAAGTTTGCTCCTTTATAATCTCCCTCAAAAGCACATTTCCCAGTAGCCCACTCGGTTGCCTGGAAACTCCATTTAAGTTCCATTAAAGGTAACGGTTGTTCGTACAAGCCTTAGAGAATGATGGGTACCAGATGTCAGAATGTTTATAATGTGTTAACTATATATAACTCGAGAGTACATACATTAGTATATATCAGTCGAAAAACAAATTGTTTTTATAGCCCAGAAGGGTTTTAATGATTTTACGTTCATTTATCTACATATGAACTATACAGTAGAGTATAATTTCTTATTATGTGTATTTCAACGGAGATAAATGTTTTGAGTTTCCTTAAATCCAAATAATCAATTTCCGAGAAATGGTACATGTGCTTGTGCGTCTGTTAGAAGCATATTAACAGTTCAGCCCAAAAACGAATAGTTGTATGAAACTATAATTACGTACTTAAGTTATCTCTATGTTCGGGATACTACAATAACTTTTTCGCCAAAGTCAACCAACCAAAAGTGGCACTTATATTATTAATTTTACGTTGTTTTTTTTTTGTTTTCTTTAACTACACTAAACATTGTATAATTTTTTTATCAATGTAAAATTAAATGCTCTCTAATATCAGCTAGGTCAAGTCGTCATTGAAATATTCGGCGAGAGCTTTAATGTAGAATTTTCAAAATGTACTGATTATCTTCAATTAGGTTTATTCAAATAATTAACTTTACTTAAATGTTAGTTGTAATAAAAAATTGAGAAGAAGACTTTAGCGAAGTTTCAGTGAAATCGGTACATTCGTTTAGGCGTTACAGTCGATAGCAACCCAAGTTTTTCAGCCGCTCTTTTGAAAGTAAAAGGCGTATAGTAATGTCGATGAAGGAGGATCATCAACATTACTATCTCGGGTGACCTCTCCAAATTTAAATCCAAATTTGAAAAAAAATCGGTCCAGTAGTTTCGAAGAAAATGCGCGTACGGCGGATAGCGGAAGGAAAAAAAAAATGTATTCATTTTTCGAATTCTACGTATCCTGAAACGTAAAACTTCAAATTCTGAGGGGAGGTTAAGTTTTTGATTATTTTGATCGATCGCAATGATTCATTATTGAAAATAATAAACCAAAATTGATTCATTTACATAAGTCATATACTTTTGTACCACTAAATTGAATAGAAAACTTTCTGTGCCTGGGATGTGGCAAAAATTAACGATTGAGAATCTACAATAATCGGCGCTAAAAGTGTAATAATTTGAAAAAGATAAAAGAAAAGTAATCCTGAAACGTAAAACTTCAAATTCTGAGAGGGTTTTAAGTTTTTGATTTTTTTGGTCGATCGCAATGGTTCATTATTGAAATTAATAAACCAAAATTGATTCATTTACAAAGTCATATAATTTTGTCCCACTAAATTGAATAGAAAACTTTCTGTGCCCGGGATGTAGCAAAAATTAACAGTTGAGAATCGACAATAATCGGCGCTAAAAGTGTAATAATTTGAAAATGTTAAAAGAAAAGTAGTGCATGATCATTAAACTAAATTCCATCAACAACATTTTCGACTCAAGAATATCATTGATCTCTTAATGCATTAAAAATAAGCAAAATGTGTAAGACAAATATTACTTTTTTCCTCTTTGTGACTCACGTACGCATTGTTCATAGTTTTGTAGGATAACTAAAAAAAATGTGGTAATGAATATCTAAAAATTGTTCAATAAATAGTCATCCATTTCGTATTAAAAATTTAAGATCGCTGATTTAAATATACTGGAAACAAAAAAAAATATATAATTGTAGTATTAACAGCTTCAATTTATTACCAGTAAATTTATTTAATGGCAGAATATTTTCGAAAAAGCTAAATCTACTAATAACTATTGTCCCACCTTTATGTGTTGACACAAGATCGCATCATCACATGAATGGAATTCCAAAAATTGTCGAAGATATATGTTGATGTTTTAACCTCTGATAAGGTCTTGATGAACTAAAAAGGACACGTTGATGGTTTTTAAATTTTTTTTTTATCGCTCTTGAGCGAGCGTGGTGAGAGAATTCAAAAACAGGGATGTCAAATTCGAAAGCAATTAAAGTCAAATTAAGGCCTCGATTTCGACCGCAAATGACTAGTAAGGAGTTTGCAGATTTCGTTAGTCGCGCTCAAAATAGGTAGGGAGGTTATAACAGCAAAGCTGTTGTCAACACTAGCCTATTCTCTGAATTCAATTTACCGTGAGATAGTGTACCCGTCCTTCAAAAGAGACCAACACTTGTACAGTAATATCCAAGATCTCATGATCAAACTATAGAAGAATTTCGAGAATGGCCAAAAGTATTGACATTTAGCTGCTACTCTACACAGTTTAACTGGCCTCCCTTTATTTTGAACGGGATTTACGACTTCTGCAATTTCCCAATTGGTTTTCCAGATCAGATCGGGGCCTTACCAGACGGTTCGGGCACAACTGTGTATTTTAGCAGAAACTTAGCCATTCTCGGTATTCGATTTATAGTGTGATCATAAGATCTTGAGAGCCCATATATCAATGTGGAGCAATTTGTACCAAAAAGAAAAGGAGGTTATACCCGTTGGTTAGGCTATCAATTGGAATTCTAAGTATGTCTCATGATCACATTGATCTTATGTCCACCCCTGATCACCTCATACCACAACTTTGTAGTAGTTAAACATCCAAAATATTTTAAAGACATTTACAGCAGGTTACAACTTTGGTTAGTTGAACAATATGAGAAAGTTAGACATAAATTTGTAATCTTTGTACTTCATGCTGAACACTGAAGTTTATTAGTTAACCTTATTAATGGGAAAAATGTAATTTATTCTATCATGTTATTCTAAAGAATTCATATAAAATTCTTCTCATCAGAATGGAAACATAAATTTAAGTACAAAATAACTGAAAACATAAAAATCTAATTGAAAATTAGAAGCTTGGGGAAAACATTTAACTAAAAATTAGCAATTAATCAAATTATAAAACATTTATTTCAAGATTATACACTTCATAGGTAGTGGAATCTAAACTTTGTTTTGAATACATGCAACTATTACATTTTCCTTAATAAGATTCATATCAGGTTACAAATAATTGAAAAATACATACAATCAACAAATATTAAATTCATTCCATCGTTTCCAGAAAAATTACCAACAATGATGATCATCTTTCTTCCAAAGTTCAGGTTTGTCATATCCCAATTTTTCTGGAAGTTCAACCCCTAACTCCTTAAGGGTAGGATATATTTCTTGACATATGTAAGGCCATATTGTCTTATGGTGATGACCACACTTGAACTTGACTGCTTCCAGCATCCTTATGGCAAGTGCATAATCATTAAGTCTTCTGCAGGCTTTTAGGCTTGCAATGATTATTTGCGGGCCAGGAACCATATCCAAACCATGCAGTTCACACAAGGCCTTCCTCAACTCCCAACTGTCGATATCTGGTCTGTTCAGATAGTTTTCAAATTTGACTTCGACGTCAGGACACTGTTTTCCTGGAATGATGCCACATTCCAAACCTGTAAAACGTTTGGGAAGGATATGCGCGTTGAACGTACGTAGGAAAATGGGTATACGCCTAATGATCATTTTACACTATAAAACAAAATCCAACAAAGAATATTAACCTTGTATAACCTACTCTAGAAATTGTAAAACTATCTACAATTAATATGATCTTGTTTTCATATGTTTAACTTCAGAGAAAGAATCGAACTTGGCTGAGGGAAAACGTCTTCACGTTTATAAATGTAACTTATATAGACAAATTATGCTTCTCAGCAGATTGAATAGTTATTGTTTACACAGTTATTTTACACATTGATGAACTTTTAGCAACCACCAAACTTTTAGTCGCCATATTGATATTCTCTCGTTTTTGTATGGTTAATTAAGAATATTAATTATACAAGGATATGATTCGCACTATGTTTGCAATTAGCATTAACGTAAACATATGTGCTTATGTCCATAGTCATTCAAGAAGTTAAAATGGATTTTTTTTTTTAGTCGACATAATGTTTTCAAATTATTTGATAATTAGATTAGGCTAATATTTTTTACGGAACCGATGCTCGATTTAATATTCTGATGAGAGACCAGATGTATACAGTAACGATTTAATTTAGCTTTCAATCTTCCGTCTCAGCGATGAAACAGCCACTTAATGCAGGTTTCTTTATTTGGCGGTTACTTTGAAAATTTGCAATGCATTTGTTTAAAATTTGGTTTCTTGTTTTAACTTTTCATTTTCTCGGTTTCTTTACTTTTATTAATATTATATAAACTAACCTTGAAACAATTTAGCATATGTATGTTCTCATAGAAAAATCAAATTTTTTCCCAGGCTTTTTTTTTTTTATGAAAGAAAAAAAATGCTAGGAAGAACCTTAGTTCCTACCGTTTCTACCATACTTTTTTACTTTCACATAACTATATATGTAATACATAGTAAGGGTAAGTATTGCGATAGTGAAAATTTTTGAATCTGGGTTTTCAACGAAAATACACGTTTTGACGTCCCTTGAGCCCAAATAACCAAGTCCCGCAAAGTGGTCTGAGTGTTTGTTAGCAGTCTAGCTCAAAAATGAAAAAAAGTACGAAACTGTTATTGCATATTTAAGATAGGTATATGCGCAAGATGTTGCAGCAACTGTTTCATTAAAATAAGCTAACCGAAAGTACCACTTTATATCAACGTTGAAACACATTTTACAATTTTCTCAAAAACAGCTCAAATGATTTCGATTAAACTCGGTGTATCATTGTATAATCAAGTGGTCTTTAATATCATTTAGGTCTTAAATGCCTCTCCTTTGATGTCACTTTACAGGACTTAAATGCCCTATGCTCATATACGTCTTACTCTAAAGTCCTTTAATATGGTTCGTTTTTAAAAAAATAACTCTCTTTTATTGGCATTAACTATAAAAAACGGCTAAATATGAAGTTTGAAAGAATAATTAGAAACTAGAGAAAAAAAGAAAAATGTTTATCCAGGTTGAAAATGAATCTCCAGAAATAACAGTCAGAAGATATACGTATAATTTATTGTTGGAAAGCGAATAATTTAATGTAAGAAGTTGTAGAAGGTAACGGAGATTGACTAAAAAAATATAAATAATAATTTCAGAAAACTAAGATTTACTTAATTTTTTTTTTTTTTGCACTTACATATATTTATCCGCACCTGTCAATTATAACTATTGACAATCAGCAGATGTGCTGGCACACTCATGAGAAAATAAAAAAATAAAAAATAAATAAAAAGGCTTGATAGGCATGAGGAAAAGCAATACCCAGCGGTATCCCTTCCATGGCTTTTACTTACTTACATACAATTACGTAAGTAGGTCCCTCATCCAAACCCTTTGCAGTCGTCTTCTGGAGTTCTCCGGCATAGTAGTCGTGACCATTTCTTTAATTAGCTGGTTGGAGTGCCCATGTAATTTATTATGAAATCGTTTGTAGTAAGTTCGTATGTGTTCATTGATCGTTGGCATGTGTAAATCAGTGTGTAAAGTGTTATTATTCACGTACCAGGGTGCTTGGGTAATTAGTCGTAGTATTTTAGACTGAAAAGTTTGAAGTCGTCTTATGTGTGTTGGTTTTGCAATTCCATATATTTGTAGTCCATAAGTCCAGAGAGGTTTTAATAGGTATGTATAAATATTTAATTTCTGTCTTGCTTTTAATTTCGAATGCCATCTTAATAATGAATGCAATAGTTTTAATCTGTGATTTAATGATGCACGTTTTTTTCTTTACAAGTGGACCCCATGTCATTCTTCTGTCAAACGTCAGGCCTAGGTATTGTACTCTATCTGTTTGTGGAATCGGTATGTTGTCTAAGTGTACAGCAGGGCATGTTTCTAGCCTTAGAGTAAATGTGATGTGTTGTCACTTTTGATAATTTATTTGAGTTTTCCATAGTTTACACCAATCGTTTATTTTTTGTAAGTGATGTTGTAGGTTAAGTGATGCCTGTGTAGGATTATCGGGTCTAGTAATGATAGCAGTGTCGTCTGCGTAGGTTGCTGTAAGTGTGTGGATACTTTGAGGAATGTCGTGTGTGTATGTGATGTATAGTAGTGGGGCTAAGATTGACCCCTGAGGTACGCCAGCTAAAATAGGTCGAATTGAGGATAGACCTGAACCGTGTCGAACGGAGAAAAATCTTTCTGAGAGAAAGGAGTAAAGAATTAAGTAGTTGGTTGGTGGGAGTATGGTCTTAAATTTGAGGAGAAGCCGCTGATGCCATACTTTGTCGAAAGCTTGGGCGACATCAGAAATACTCCGGTTGCATATAGTTTCCGCTCTAGTGCTGTCGATATGTAGTCAGTTACCCTGTGTAATTGTTGTGTTGTTGAATGTAATTTTCGAAACCCGAATTGATGGTCAGGAATAATCTGTTTGTCTGTTAGTATATGCAATAGTCGTGAGTATAATAGTTTTTCAAATAATTTAGAACACACTGGAAGCAAACTAATCGGTCTATATGAAGAAGGATTGTTAGTTTCTTTGTCTGGCTTTTTAATCATGGTTATATGAGAGTATTTCCACTGTATTGGAAATTTTGTGGTCCTAAGAATGCAATTGAAGATTGTGGTGAGAAACACTAGAGCTTTCCTTGGCATTTGCTGGAGCGCCTCAGCATTTATCAAGTCATGACCAGGGGTTTTTCTTTTCGGTAATTGTCTAATTTCTTGTGCAACTTGTGATGGTGTGAAAGGAGGATTTAAGGATTTAAAGATTTAATAGAAGAAAAGATAACAGGGGCAATAAAAATAAAGATTAATGATATTAAGAATAAAAGCTAAAAAATACATTTTTAAATAATAAAAATTAATACTAATAGAGGCGAAGTTAAGGAATACAGTTTATACATTAGAAAGTACAAGCACCATTAAAATTAAACATTAAAGATTAGAGAAAGATAAGTTAACAGTTAACAAGGATATTTAAATATAAGGTTAATTATTTCAGGAATATAATCTAAAAATACAGTTTAAAAAACAAAATTAATATTAAAGAAGAAAAGTTAGGAAGTACAATTTAAATATTAAAAATTACAAGAAGAAAAATTGAAAAACCATTACAGTTAAAAATTATGATTAAAAGAAAAAAAATTAACAGGTATATTTACAATTTAAAGAGGAACCTACAAACTTAAAAAACTTAACGTTTACAATTACAAGGTGTGATTAAATTTTGTTAAATATTTTGATTTCCTTAAGGAACAATATTAAGTTTTTAATAGCATTGGAGTCCTTTTGGAGTGACTCGAATGCATGGAATGCATGGAGTGATGAGATTGGAATGCATAACATTCGGTTAGGATATGGTTCACTGTAAGAGGTAGCCCGCAGGAAAGACATTGAGTAGGAGAGTCTTTCCTCATTAAGTACTCGTGAGTAAGCCTAGTGTGTCCGACCCTTAGCCGGGTCAGTACCACTTCTTCCCTTTTGGTCAGTAGGATATTTGGAGTGACTCTCCGGACGTATGGCTCCACAACCCTTAGCTTATTATCTCTAGTGGCAGACCAAGTTATTTGCCTTGCCAACCATGATTTTTCTTTGATGAAAGAGACAACTTCAGAAGGTTGAGTGGTGATGATAGGTTGACCTTCTTTGATAGCTCTCCTGGCCATGCTATCTGCCATTTCATTGCCTTTGATCCCGACATGACTTGGTAACCATAAAAATTTTACCATACATCCAGCCATTTCCAATGTTTTAAGTTTAGTTAGAGTATCGACAACTAACCAGTTTTGAAAAAAAGGGTCCTGTAAGTGTGTGGTTATGAAAGCAGATGGAGTAACTAGATTTTTGATGCCTACCGTCCATATAATAAATAGAATTTTTGTAATTATGATGGTCTTAATTTATCATCTCTAAGCATTAAGCTTTAGCTCCGTTTAAAATGCAATTCAAAAATTTTATAATAGCCCAGCATTGCCAGAAAATAATTCTTATTCAAAGTAGAACGGTAATGAAAGTTTTTTGTTCCGCGCACCAGATTTTTCCCTTTCGGTCGGACAGATTTTCCCTTTTTTCGGCTTAGAATGAATTTATATAAATTAATGAATTTAAGAATCTCTTCCGCCCTAATATATGCAGAATAATACATAATTTACATGTAAGTAATATTTTTATGTCTAAACCGGCATAAATGTAAATAAAACTACTTATTTATCATAGGTTGGAGATCTATTAAAAAATAGATTAAACTCCGTTAGGCTTTAATTGATAAATATTGCGTAACTTTTTTCCACATCCCAACTTCGGAATTTTCCTAAGGGATGACTTTGATCCACACAAGATCCAATAAAACATTCAATCTTTCGTTAGCAAAAGATACATTTATTCAGTTTAAAAACAACAAACTGTGGTCCGTTGTAAAAGTTTTAACGACCTGTTTGTGTAAATGTTTTTAAAATCCTTCTAAATGAGCCAGATTCTAACCTGGTATAAAGGACCGATGGGTAATCTATTTCAGTCTGTTTATTTATTTATGCGTATAAAGCTATATACATGAACGTCAGTAATTCAATACTGTATTCTTTGACTTTTTAAAAAACGTTTAATAAAAATCAAAAAGTAAAGTAACCTGTTATCTAAGTAATCAATATATTTTAATATGAATTCTTTTTTTTTTCACTTTTAACGTTAATGCAATCAGATAATTAGTTTACAACAATAGCGGATCCAGGATTTAATTTTGAAGGGCTTTAGCCCTAAAGCTATTTTTTTCATATATATAACGATAATTACTTTGGAAAAAAAAGAAAGATACTAACTACCTATATGAAATGGTGTTTAAGTGATTCTTGAAATCCTTTTAAATGTAATTACACGAATAATAATACTTTAAGAGATATTTTTTAAATAATTGTTTCCATAAAATACGGTTACATTTTACTATTGGGGGGGGGGGGATGGAGGGGAAGACTTCAGACCGAAAGCCCTCTCCTTCCCCCCGTTGATCCGCCTGTGGTCTACAAGTGTATGGAAAATGAAAAGAAATCACGACGTGTCAGACATGGTGGACACTTGCATCACGTTTTATCGAGGTGATCTCTCAGGAGATCTCTCATCCAGCACCTTTTTAGTCTTCTCCTCATATCAAGAGATATGTCAACTGTGGCCGTGTCTCTTACTAATATGTCATTATGTTTATCTAAATTTGTATTTATAGATTTTTGTTTGTCATGTAACAAGGTGCTTTTGTTATGATGGTTACAAGGTAAAAAAAAGAATAAATAAATTATTAGTAGATATTAAACTAATACAGGTTACCAGATTTAGAAATTGAAGAGTTTATAAGATACAG